GAGCCAAGCTTGAGCCTAGCTATGTTCAGCTCGTGAAGCTCGCGAGCTAGCTCGACTCGGTGGCTTGTTGAGCTCAACTCGTGAGTTAGCTCATTTAGAGCTCATGAGATGTCTCAACATTGTGGTTTGAGGGCAAACTTGATCACTGACTTATGGACTAATCGATCTAATTTGGACTTTCATAATTCATAGGATTGTTAAATTATATATCTCACATCATGTGAAGTTTAACATGTTGAACATGTAAGAAAATATGCCTTATTTTTAACTCTATAAAGAAATTATGTACAAAATTATGTCGATACTATGAAATAACATGATTTGAACTAGTTAAAATTTATTAACTAAACAATATGACACCTAAAAATTATAATATAAGATTAATTAATGTTGAACATTTGATTATTTTTTTATCACTACATCAATCACATGTACCATACACGACATACAAAATGAATGTATTAAATACGATCTAAGAATTTAGTAAACAAGCCTAACTCGAACTCGACTCGACTCAGCTCGTTAATAAATGGCTCGGGCTCGAGCTCAGCTCATTTGTTAACGAGTCAAGCTCAAGCTGGGGTAAAACTCGGCTCAGCTCGGCTCATTTGCAGCCCTAAACACAATTCCTTCCTCCTCTGCCTCCGCTGACGCTTCGTCAGTAGTCGTCATCCCTGCCGCTTAATTTCAACCATCCGACTGGATGTGAATTGTCATATCTCTATACGGATTGGTCCATCCACGCGGCGTTGTTGTGGCCGCCAACCACCTCTACGGAGATGACTTTTAGTGGAATTGAAGATTGGAGGAGGGATTGTTAATGGGGTTTTCCGGGGGAAAAATCAGAATAGAGATTTACGTCCAAAGGGTGGAGGAAAACTGGAAAAGAAAGAGAGGACTTTTTGTTCTTACAAAAGAGAAAGGAAGGAGTTGGCAGTTGGTTGTGGGTAACATTGGGGATTTTTATGCAGAGCAAAATTTGAACGGAAGGGCGGAGCAAGGCTGGCGACAGGGAAGAGAAGGAAGGGGGTTTGACGTGGACAACTTAGAATTTTAGTGTGGATTACGTGGCATAGGTGAAAACCAAAAGCCCTTTAATATTTTTTAAAAAGAAAAGAAAATTTATTAAAAAATGTACCGAAAGTTGCGGGGAGGCCTTTCCCGAGAAAGCCTTTATAATATTTTAAGGATAAGGATATCATGTCTATTTCTTAGTATTAAGTAAATAATGAACTGTAACAGGTAGTTATTTATTGCCGTTAGGTCAAACGTAACAATTCGTCAAAAAAAAAAAAAAAAGGTCAAACGTAACAAGTTATGACATTCGATAAAAAAATAGAATTAATATATGTATTTTCATCTTAATTAGGTCTGTTATATGAGGTAATTAATTATTAAATTAATGTGGAAGATGATCTTGGGATAATGTGAGAGCACATATAAAGACTGAAGAGGCAAATCAGGCGGTAAAGTAAAAGGGGAAGAAGTAAGAACTGGTAATGGATAGTGGATACTACTAATCGTTCCATGATCTCCATGTTCATAATCACTATTTTGGTCCTCCTTCCGCATAGTTCAGATGCCGAGTTTGGGCAAGGTCATTATGTCCACATCCAAAATCACAATTGAGTGACCCCGCGCGAAGCTACTCGGGGTTCATTATATCGCAGTAAACAACAAATTTTTATGGCATTTTCATTTTTCACAACTACGCTATCATGACGAAGATGTTTTGGCGTCGGGAACCATCCAACAAAGCTGGTCGCAAAGTTGAATTTGAAGCTTACAGATATAACTGCGACATAATTCGTAGAGAGTTTATTGGATCGCCAAAGACGATGGAGTCTTTACTAAACTGATGAATCGCCATGGTCAATGGGTAGAATGGCTGCGATTTCGTTGGCAATAGGAAACGCGAATTCATCTGAAGGTTAATGCAGGATGATCGTTGCCATATAACTGTAATTGTCTTTTTTTTATCAATAAACTAATTAGACTCCTCTCTCTAACTAGTAATTATATTTGTACTCGGCTTGTTGACCAGGTCACTTGTCGTTGCATTACAAAATATATAATTTAACTTGAGTAAATAGTATAAGTGGTCACTGCAATATTAATGGTCACTCTCACAAAAGACTTAACGCAAGACTGTCAAAGAAAATATAAAAGAAAATAGCGAATAAAGAAAGAAAAGTTAAATATTTGGATTCCAATGTTCAATGTCATTAACTAGAGAATGATTACATATTTATAGGTTAAAAAATCCTGAAAATTCCTTCTCCTTTCCTATTGGGTTGGTGATTCTTTTTCCCCATTTCTATCCAAAATATGAAACCTATCTCACAAGCAAACGCTAACTAAATTCTAAACACATATGAACAATTAAATTCTCAATTCTACTTAACAAGTAAACATTAATAATTCATACCAAAAGTTCCGAAATAATATATAAGTACGAACTAATGATTTAAATACTAAAAGATGAGCAAGTTCAGTCTTCTACGAAATGAAATAATATCTAAATGAACGATGATGATGATAGGATGGGAGATGCTGGAGATCTGGAATTATAAAGTGCTCATATATATTTTTCTCCCATTTTGGAAACAACGCCAATTAATCTTTCTATCCTCTTTATATGATCTCCCTCTTCAAATTTGTAGAACCATAACAGGTTTAACTTCAATTGTGGTAGCATAAAATCCATTAATCCATCACCTTTAGATGTGGCAATTTTCAATCCAATCCAATCCACCAACCCATTAAAAATATCCACCTAATCCAATCCATTTAAATCCAATCCATTTGATCCAAATCCAATTGGATTGGTGGATTCTTGGATTGATCCATGGACCCAAATGACAAATTCTGATTTGATACATATACTTTTTATACTTTATATTTTGGTACTCAAAATTTAGTTTTTATATATGAAAAATATCGTTGGAAAATTACATTTTGGTACCTAAATTTTTTCATAATGACATTTTAGTACATACACTTTTCACATTTTACATATTGGTCCTTGGTTGATGATGTCATTTGGATTCATGGATAATCCACCAATCCACTTTATCCAATCCATGAATCCACCAATCCATTGGATCCAATCCATTTGATCCATGAATCCACCAATCCATGGATCAATCCATTTGCCACCTCTAATCACCTTCCTGATTGCCAAGGGTGAACCAGAACATCATGGAATCGTGCACTTAGATAACGACGTCTTCGATAAACTCCATCTTCTCTAACTATCCAAGTAGTAGGGACAGTCATCCCTTCCTCACGTATTCCGTCGTTAAAAGCTTCAAAAGCAACATGGCGAGCACCGCCGGACGGGGCCAAATAGCACCAGAGAGCGTCGTCCATGGAATTGGGGTGAAACCCCACTCGTAACTGCTATTGAACTTGAGATAATGAATTCCCAGATCGTCATCCTTTGATCGATAATGTACCAGCAGCGTGTTCGCCTTGTGGTTGCTCATTTGGTTTTGGATATAGACAGACTGACGCATGTCGCCGCCAAAACCGGAACTCACACGTAGGATGGCGGTAAAATTTGTTAGTACGATGAGGAAACTCATGACATTGTCCATTCCTCCTGAATCCTGATACAGTTGGTGCTATGGACCGTGATTATAGTACGCTTTAATATTTATAGGCTTTTCCTAAATAATTTCACCAGATTAATGATCCCATACATAACTCTCTTAGCTAGTTCCTATTTCCTAACCAACGAAAAGAGAGTTATCTACTAAATATATGTTAGTCTGTTACTATTTCATTACTTTTTTTAATTTTTAAGTTACGTTTACGGGGTAAGAGAGAGTGTGGTAAAACCTTTCTTAATTGGCATTCAATAACGCAAATTCTTACTTATTTGACGGTAGAAATTAAGAAGGTTGTTATAAAAAAAAAAAAATTAAGAAGGTCATTTTGGTTCAAAATGTTAAAAGGGAAACCATCCGAATTTGGAACTTGGAAAACTCCAAACATAATCATATGTTGAAATGGTAGGGTAAAGTCGTAAAGAGAAATCAATAAGCTATGCGATGAAAATTGAATTCGTACTTGGGCGAATCAAACTAAATCCAAACCAATAAAAGTTAGCAAAATTCGGTGTTGATCGATTATGTGTCGAGTGCGGATAAAACACCATTTTGAAATTGACAAGTTAGATTGGGTGCAAATTTTGATAAAAAGTAGACTCTCATCAAGGGAATTTTTTTTTGCATTTAACCCTGATAATATGAATTATTTATGAATTGTGTTTTCTCTTCCAAAATTATAATATGTATTTTACATAATTATTTTGTCGTCCTAGGTCAATTCAATCTATTATCATGTCTACAAAGAAAGCACAACTGGGCCTCATTATTGTTTCAGGCCCATTCAGTTATACATTGGAAAATCGATGACTACTAAGGCCTGCTTGTTTAATTGAGCCCAACTCGCCACTGAGGTTGCTTTTGATGAGTTGATTAGTTTTATCCTTTGACTGATTATCTTGGAAGTGTTCCATGCAAATCCTCCTTCAACACCCCCAACCAACGACGTTGTTAAATTGAACTGATAAGAGAGATTTTGGATGAAATGGAGGAGTTATGGTAATAATTTTCAAATTAAATGTGCTAAGTGTGAAGCATTGTATAGACCTCTTAAGTAGTTACTATAATATACAGTTGAAAGCAAAAAAAGTATGAGAATAGACCGAAGCAGACAATATCCTTATAAAAAAGGTCGGGATATATTAGAGGAATTATATGGAGAACATTTGTAAGTAGTATAATTTATTCATAATTATAATTATGAAAATTAAGTTTTGTAGCGTATTATATTATGTCGAAGGATTATTCCATATGGTATGCTTATAAGCTTATTAATTATATGACTGATATTAGGATATGATATTGTAGATAATAGCTAGCAAGGTCGACAAAGCATTTATGTCGCATGCTTCACAGACCGATATGGCACTTTAATATATCATGCACTTGCTAATTGTCAATACAGTGCGTATACTTGTAGCTAACAGGAACTGGAAGGTGGATTGCTGCTGCTGCATCATCATCCTCTAGCTGTTGAAAGGCATCGTGGTCCAGTGCCAAACTTGTCCAGCTACAATATTTTCTGTTCATGATTCTCACCATCGCTTGTTTTCCATTCTTAGGATTGGTTACCTACACTCTCAACACAAGGATCGATATCATTAGGAGCTACGTACGTACATGTAGTGGCGCATTCATGTAGGTTTAGGGGGTTTCCCGGGACACCTCTAAAATTTGAAAGAAAGAAAAAATGATTATTCGACTTCCGATAGTAGTTTGCATATGAGTAAAATTAAAACTATTTAGGTGGTAGCGGGACGTCCTTAAATTTTGGGAAAATGATTATCCAGCATCCAATAGTAGTTTGCGTATGGGTACAAATAATATTTAAGTGGTAGTCTACGTGATTTAAACTTAGAACACTGCTAGCTACTATTAGTAAACATATTTTCTGTTATGCTACAGCTCATTTGTTGTTGTTGTTTTAGATTCAAATATAATAGTAAAAGGTCATTCCTATCCCCCAATTATTTTGAGAACCTAACAGTTAAAACGTAATCACGGACTATCCTTTGTCTAATAAGATATATCGAGAGAGATTTTTCGAGCAGACACCAAATGTATTTTACTATTTTTCATAACACGAAACACGTCGTAGATTTTCGTTGGAACTTTTACCAGTTGGATATTATCTTTATCTAATAATTATTTATTTAATTTTTTTAATAAAATTTATTTCTTAGGAGAGGACTCCTAAATAAATTTCTGGATTCGCCACCGCGTAGCTTTATGTATCGACGCAACGTGGTAATTAATATAATTTACCTGTAGACATTGGCCGGGAACAATAATGTTGGTCGAGACCGTAGTTGATGATGAAGACGGTCCGCTGCATATTGTGGCCGAACCAACTGATGACGACGATGAAGAAGTAGCAACGGACACGTTGTTGAGATTGGGGTCGTAGGTGGCTACTAGGGTTTCATAACCAGGCGCTGCTGCTGACGGAAGCTGCTGGTTTCCAGCGGCTGCATGACGACAATTGCCTAGGCAGTGACAAGGATCACATTCGACATGACCTTCACAATAACACGGCGTACAGTAGCCGATTGAGATTCCACAGTAGCCCCACAGACTACAACACCGCCCTGCCTCACAATCCACGCAGCTGCTATTGTAACGAGGGCAGCCGCATGTATGATTTGCCCTTTCCACGGCGTCAGCGACCGGCGCCAGCGATATGATGATGATGGCTGATACAGCGATATTGAACGCCAGTACTGTAACGGCTGATGTTGCCATGGGCTAGCTCTCGATCGATCTTCTTTGAGTTTCTATGGAGTTGCTCTGTTTGGTTAACAAGTGAAAGCTATTTATAAAGCAGTGGGAGTAGTGCTCCTGCACGAGGGGAAAGTGCCCCTGGGATGTGGAACTCTAGGGTGATCCATGGCGAGAACCTTCAGCATTTCTATCGTTTGACTTCGTGATTTGGACTTGTGAATTGGAAGATGATAAATTTCAACTTGCTAGCTAGCTAGCATTGTTTTCTCAAAACTGCAAGCTATAGCTAGGAGTTTCAAGTGGAGAAAACTCACGTGAAATCAATATACCTCTGCAAGATGTACACGTCAAGTCTATGGTTAGTTCGTCGTCTATATGTAAAGATTTTTGTCAACAGCGGACCAGAATTTTATTTAAATGTGTCATTTTTCGAAAATTAAATAAAAAAAATCGTAAATAAGATAAAAATCCAACTACAAGTTATTAGAAAATTACACAAAGTGTTTTTATATTTTGGAAAGATTGTGAAACACACTCAATGTTTATAGCGCTTATCAAATTTCTTTCAATATATCCTACTATACATTATTCGTCGATGAACTTATAGCCTATATAATTCCAAATATGTTCTCATAATTTAAAAAACCATATTGGTCAGTTGGACTGAAAATACTGGATAACGGACTTAAATTGATTGGCAATTTTAGCAATAGGAATGAATACACGATTAAACCACAATTTTAACAAAATACCCTACCACTAAATTTTTCGATATAACCTTGATACGATTTCAAATCCTTGGTTTGTTCTCTTCTTGATCATGATGATCTGCCCAATTTCTTTTCTCTCAAAACAATGTTGAGCTTACAAAATTGTTTCTAATGCTGCAATACAATGATTTTCAATCCTTGTAAAAAGACACGTCACACGCCAAAGATATCCACGGTAATTCTCAAATATCGCGCAGTAAAAAAAAAAAGACAGCAAAATAAAAACAGAAATTTTATCCCTTACGAAAATTCATCATTGCTTCTTAATTCCTCCGATTCTTCCAACCGCCGGCCAAAAAATTCCCTCCATTGTCCCCATCTCGCATTCTGCAGCAAAGAAACCATTAATCTCTGAATCATTATCGTCGCACATGTAAAATGGAGCTATTCGAGAAAGCGAGGGTGATCCGTCTCCGAAGCCACCACGACAAGTACCTGCTCGCCGACGACGATCAGGAAGGCGTGAGCCAGGATCGGAACGGGATGTCGAAGAACGCCAGATGGACGGTGGAGATTGTGGAAGGGTACCAGGCCATACGGTTACAAAGCTGCTACAGCAAGTACCTGACCGCCTCCTCCACGCCGTTCCTCCTCGGGATGACCGGGAAAAAAGTGATTCAGACCACTCCCCCGCGCCTTGACACCTCCGTCGAGTGGGAGCCCATTAGAGAAGGCGTTCAGGTTCGCCTGAAAACCCGCCACGGCCAGTACCTTCGCGCCAACGGCGGCGTCCCTCCTTGGAGGAATCATGTCACCCACGACATCCCTCATAGAACTGCAACCCAGGATTGGATTCTGTGGGATGTTGATGTGATGGAGCTAAGACCTCCGCCGCAGCAACAATCTTCCGATCACCGACCGCCGCAAGGCCCTGGTGGCCGGTCTTTCGAAGCCTCTCTCCAGCCTCCTCCTCCGTCGTTTGGACCCAAACCTTCCCTGTCAAGAATGGAGGTTTGTCAAAAAAAAAAAAAAAAAAAAAACTTAATGCTGCTATGTGAGAAATGGATTTGTGATCAAAATTATGTGTTCTAATGACATTCGTGTAACTTTCATTTAATTGACAGTTAGATTTATCGTAGTTAGTGGACAAAAACAAAGTTTTGTGGATAATTTTGAAGAATTTACATGGTTACATCAGTGAGCTTAAAATTTTGTGTAAAAAGCTGGTGGATTCTGTTAAATCTAATAATCAATTAAACACCAGCGTAAAACTTCATGCCACAAATATCATTCCGAGAAGTATTAATCCTAAAAAGAATGGAACTTTGCAGATGGGTTTCTGATCATTTACATATGGGTGCTTCTGGTTTTTGTTTCTGTTGCAGTCTGATGATACGTTTGTGATGCCAGCGAAAAATGAAGGTAGGGTGATCAAGTACGTAGTGGCAAATGAGAAAGGACAAGTTGATAAAGATGAAGAAGGGAGTACCTTTTCTTTCAAGGGAACTGAGGTGGGGGAACTGAAGGAGAGGTTGGAGGAAGAGACAGGAATGAGTGACATCCTCGTATGTTCTCAAAATCCTTTGAATGGGATGCTCAATCCTCTCACCTTGCAGTATCTGCCACCAAATAACGCAAGTATGAATGTTGTTGTAGTTCCCTCGGCTGGAAAAGGTTGGTTAGTTTAATAATAGTACCTTTGGCCCCATGCCCCCATCTCTGTTTCTTGTTTCAAGTCTGTGACAGCCTGCTTATCCTCTGACCATGCTTCTTTCCTCTGTTGTGGCTGGACCATCTGCTAGGTGCAAAGAATATTACGCAACCGCCTTCAGAGTAGTAATGGGCTGGCCATCTCTTGCATCGACTGAGGACTCTGTTGAGAGAAAACAACGCTTGCGCCGTAGCTCGTGGTTGATGGATGACCAGAGTGTAGATGGAGCCATGTAGTAGAGTCCTTCATCCAATGGTTAACCTAAACACACAAGGTTTCTGTCTCAATTGTTGACATTAAACTTCATGTTATGTGCAACTATCTTCGGGCTGTCTGCGAACTTTGCTAACATCACAAATGAAGAAGTATATATCAGAGGTTTCCAGCACTTCAGCAACTGTTACTTCCAAGCTAAGAAATTTAAAGTAGTTTTCTCCTTCATTCTTCCTAGACTGACGTCTTCCCTTTTGCTGTTTCCTTGTAAGGTAGAGAGTAAATGGCTTAGCTTCTCACTTGCTAATAAGTTTAAAGCAGTACTTCCTTTTATGCATACCTTTTCTATCCTCCCCTTGTAGAGTTTGTAACACGAAACACATATTTCCAGAATGGCTGGTTACTAACATGGTAGAAACATAAGTTTTGATCAAGTTCCTCTTGTACCTTTCTTACCCAGCTTGTACTGTCGATCTGTTTAAAACCCAAGTTGTGGACAGGAAGAAATACACATCTGTCATTTATCATTTGGCTGTAATGTCATTAACACATTAGTTTCAAATATTGACAGGCAAGAGTGCAAGCTTGACCAAATGATAGATTGAAGCCATGTGCTTGAATGCAATAGTTTCATACTGCAACCTGGCGTTCTCTTGATCGTTCTTAGCTTGCCACAGAACTCAGGTAGATATTCAATATATAAACCCAAGTCAGGCCTTTATCTCCATCTCCATTTGCCTACTTCAGAAGCGCTTTTGCAGCAAGTTCCACAAACTTCCCATGCTTGTGGAGATTGACAATTGCTCTGATAGAAGCAATCGTGGGTTTTGACGTTTCTCTGTACTGTTTCAGTTGATATCTTCATATGGCATAAAGCAAAACACCAGTAGTATATGCTCATTCTATTGCTCAATTCATACTCAGTGATCTTCCTGTTGCAATCCAGTATGAGCACATGCCATCAGAACTCCACGTGAAATAATTGCACGAGGACCAAGTCCATCTCCCTCCTGCATATTCCTCCAGCAGTTAATTGGTTTTCTCACATAGCTACACATCATGAACCCACCAACCATCACTATCGTGATAAAAACCATTAGCTTTAGTCTTAAACTTGAAGATCCCCGGGGCCATATGTATGCATCAAGCCGCAAGTGCAACAACATGTTATATTATATCCACCATCAACTATTGCTTTTGATTACTTGTAAAAAAAAAAAAAAAAACTATTGCTGTTGTCCTAATGAATCAACCTGCAGTTACCCAGAATTCACCCATCCGGATCAAGCCTCAAACCAGCATGTCACTGAAACTCAAAGACGCCTTCTCAATCAACCTTCAGTTTCTGCATTCATTCACAAGCCCGTTCCACTGGGGAAAATGCACATCAGGAATTTTGTCGAACACTTGTCGTGCACAGTTCGTAAAGTTCCTCTGGACGAACCAGGGACGGAGCCAGCATTTGAAAATAGGGGGGCCAAAAATAAAAGATGGTAAACAAAATTACTAATTATATTTCAATAGTACACGACGCTCTTTGAGATCATTGAAATCACTCAAAATAGCGTCTAAACTAAAAGTTTTTGCAATCTCTCGTTCAATAAAAATAACTAAGTTATCAGCTAGAAAATCATCATTCATCTTGTTCCGCAACCTGTTCTTCACTATCTTCATAGCTGAAAATGCAAGTTCACCTGTGGCGATTGATACCGAAAGAATCAAAATAAGACGAATCAATCTATCAACAAGGTTAAATTCCTTTGACCTTCCCGTCTTTGCCAAACCATGACACAATTCAGCAAGTGATTATAGATTTTGGAGTTCAGGATGAGTAGGAGCATCGGCTTGAAAATGTTTCAATTTGTACTTCAAGTCATCCAAGTCTTTTTCTGAAAAATCAAGAGGGTAGTACCTCTCTGCAAGATCACAAATAGCACCAATGTTGAAAGCTTTATAACCATCCCGAGGATCCAAACTCGAGCTAAGTTTCAGAAGTTCAAGTACTTTGTCATCGAACCTTGCTCGTATTTCCTCTATCTGCACATCAATGGCGGCATTGAACACACCAGAAGAATCCAATCTGTGGCGCGGAAACTTGGGAAAAGTTGGCGCCACAGCGAACACAGAAGAAGACAGAAGGGGTTTTTAGGTTGGATTGAGGGATTGTTTCGTTTAGAGTGGGAATGTGGGATTGATTCTTTTGTTATGCAAAACTGCAGTAGCCACAAAATTCCAACAGCAGCAGAATCGTCTCCCGCAGAGGAAAGATGAAAGGCAAAGAAAGGGAGTTTTTCCAGAAATAGCACCTTAAAAAAAAATACAAAACTAGCACTCTTCCAAAAATATTTACAAAACTAGCACCCTATTTTATTGACCGCACCCTTGTGGTGCGTTTTAAAAATAAACCGCATCCTCCAGGTGCGTTTTATATGTAAACCGCACCTGGAGGGTGCGTTCCATTCTGGTGGGCCTAAATCGCACTTTGGCCATGCGTTTTCAGGTCTGGCCTACATAAAACGCAAGGCCGAGGTGCGGTTTAGGCCTGCCCTACACAAACCGCACCTTAGTGATGCGTTTTATTCCTCCAAGAACAAACCGCATCGCTAAGGTGCGGTTTGGCCATGTAGAACGCACCCCCCAAGTGCGGTCTACATGTCAATAATTTTCCGACACCCGACACAGCCATGCAGAGAATTATGGACGTAGGGCTGCATGGCAGACTAAAACCGCACCCTAGAGGTGCGGTTTTCATCATTTTTTCCCCTATATAAGACTTGCCGGAAAACCTCTACTCTTCACACCTCTCATTCTCTCTTTCATTTTTCTGTTGTATGTCTATATTTATTTAGTGTGTTTGCCATTAACATTAACTCGTAAGTTTATTTTGTGTTACTTTTCATTGTTATTTGTGATTTGTGATTTTTATGAGATTAACTGAACTACGGTTTTTGTGTGTGCAGATGGCATTCCGTCAGTTCACGCTTGGCTTACGGTGGAATGGTTACACGGAAGAGACCGGAAAGGGGGCCACCTACGTCGGTGGCAATTTTCAGAAATTAACGGTCGGTACCAGACCGAAGCTTGAAGACCTCCATCAAATATGCACTGACGTTACTTGCATGGATGGCACGAGAAGAGTAGATCGTATGGTGTACCGATATCCAAACAGAGAAAGTGGGTCATTGTGGCATGAGGAATATACCATAACCACTCAAGATGACGTCGATTCCATGCTCGAATTCTTGAGGACCAACAAATTGGCTAAAGCCGAGATGTTCGTTTACACCGATCCAGCCGTTGGTGTTGGAGGTCATTCTGGACACGGTCAAACATCTGGTATCCATGATGGAGGTGAATTATATGGCGATCATCCCTACCAAAGTTACCATGATCCTCATTCCTATTTTCAGTACCAAGATGGAGGGCAAGGTGCAGGCCATCATCAATCGGACGTCCCCAACCAAGCCCAGTACAACTTCCAATCAGGCAGCGGTAGTTTTCACAACTACCATTATGGAGCTGATGAAGGTGCCTTTCATGAGCTGGATCATATGGAGGCTGCCACACAAGCACCAGTCAGCGACCCCTCTGATGAAGAAGGAGAGAACAACGTCAGTGCAGACAGCTCAGACCCTCTTGAAGGTGCTGATGATTCAGCACCAGATTCAGATTCAGATAATGATCATGATGTGGCTCCTGACCGTGTACCAGTCCCCTACTACACTGACATTCCAGACGACAATTGGATGGTCGACAGCGACATGGAGCCGCCAGAGGTCCCAATATGGGGCCCACTCACTGGGTTTACGAAGGGCCAACAATTTGGCTCGAAGAAGGAGGTGCGGCACGCCCTTGAGACTGAAGCAATGACTCGGCATTTTGAATGGCACACAACTCATTCCAACACCAAAAGGCTCATAGTCAGATGCCGTAATCATCACGAGGGGTGCAATGTTAGGATTCGGGCCATCAACAGCAAGAGACACGGCAACTGGGTCATATCCCGTGCGGTCAACACACACACATGTGTGTCATCCATAACTTCCCAAGGCCATCGACAGTTGAAATCCAGGGTGGTAGCTGCGGCTGTCAAGCATCTGATTGAGGCTGAACCGGATCTGAAGGTGAAAGTCATAATCGCTGACATTGCAAGTCGTTATGGTTATATGATTAACTATAAGAAGGCGTGGCATGGAAAGCAGAAAGCTCTGGCCGCCGTCTTTGGTGATTGGGAAGAATCATATGCATTCCTTCCCAGGTTAATACTGCATTGGAGGCGTCTAACCCTGGGACTGTGTTCTCCCCTCGATACCAAGATGAAGAGATACAACCCCCAGAGGCAGGTAACGAACGCCATTTTCGCAGACTGTTTTGGGCATTCAAGCCTTCTATTGATGGTTTTGGCTTTTGTATCCCTGTGATTACTGTGGATGGTACATTCCTTACCGGCAAGTACAAGGGCACTCTCCTGATTGCCAGTGGGGCGGATGCAAACAGACAAGTCTTTCCTTTAGCCTTCGCCATTGTTGAGGGACAGAATGCTGATAGCTATGGATGGTTTTTCCGACAAATCCAAATCCACGTCACCAGGAGGACGAACCTGACAATAATCTCTGATCGGCACGCCGACATTAGAGCTGCCATCTTAGGCCTGGATCCATCCTGGAATTGGTCCCAAAGGTGGTGCATACGACACTTCAAGAGCAACTGGAACCATAATTTCAAGCGGAAGAAACTAGCTGATAATTTGTGGTGGATTGGTAACCTCGCTATCTATTGCTCTCAATAAACAATATCTTGTAATATGGGGAGTGGTGCACTTGTTAGACTCTTTCTAAAGAGATGCATGCCTAAGGAAATGGGGTTTTAAGAAATTATGATGGTCCTCCCATTTCCTGGGGAAATCGGGTTTTAAGCGATCTTCGGATCCCCCCTTTTTCTGTCAAACAGGCTGTGTTTCTAAGGAGATGTATACCTCTCCTAAGAGTCTAACGAGAGTCTGACCGTGCAGTTTGAAATTGTACTAAATTGAGGATCATTGACTAACAGACGACTTTTCTGTGTGTTATTCAGCGGTTGCATACCAGGAGAAAAAATTTCAGGAGAAGTTGCAAAAGCTGCGCGAGTTATGCCCTGAAGGGGCACAGTGGCTGGATGGACACGACCTATCCATGTGGACATTTCATAAAGATGGAGGGGAAAGATGGGGTATTGCCACAACCAACTCAAGTGAGAGTGTCAACTCTGTCTACAAGGCCGTCCGTGCACTGCCAATCTCTGCCATTGTGGAGATGACTTTTTGGAAAACGAATGCATGGTTCGTGAACCGTCTCCACTGGGCAAGGACGAACGAGGCACAGGGAAAGGTCCATGCCTATA